CACACACACACACACACACACACACACTCACACACACAGACACACACGTACACACTCACACACCTGAGGAGGTTTGGGGCCCAGACGATGGCCAGGTTTCTGGCGTGCATATTGGTCTGAGAGGCGAATGTGGACATCTTGACCAGATGACGCATCAAATATTCCAGAGTCCTGGAAAACCATAAGCATTAAGAGAATTCAGTTAAACCAGACGCTAAATTCTACCATCAAGCTCAAGAAAGAACACCATAAAGTATCACAAGAGTGACTTTTGCACTATATGTTTTAAGCTTTAGGAAGTCTTATTTAAGTTTTTATGCACTGAAAATCTAGCCCTAATGCATGTTCACGTTCAAAAGTATTTGAACGTGGAGTATTTGATGCACTAGAACATTAGGCATAAAAACAGTATGTACCAAGAGCACCTTAACCCTCTGGTGCTCCTTATCAGAATCAGAATCAGAATGAGCTTTATTGCCAGGTATGTTTACACATACGAGGAATTTGTTTTCGTGACAGAAGCTTCCACAGTGTAACAGAATGACAGCGACAGAACAAAAAAACACAGATAATAAAAAATTAAAATAAATAAAAAATAAAAAATAGAACAAGTAAATAAGGAATACAAATATACAAATCGACAATTGTATGTACAGGTATATGAAGCTGTGATTTTTAAAAATTCAAAACTTCAAAAGATTTTCGGTCAAAAGTGACCGAAGAGCACCAACCACAGCAAATTCCTTGGCGAATAAAGCTAATTCTGATTCAAAACAAGTTTTTAAATCCTGTTCTGCTTCATTAGTCCATCTTTTTACAGTCCTTAATACAGGTTTAGCTGATTTCAATTTTTGCCTGTAGGTCGGTATAAGATGAACAAACAGTGATCAGAGAACCCTAAAGCTGCCCGTGGGACAGAGTGATATGCATTTTTTAAAAATTCAAAACTTCAAACGATTTTCGGTCAAAAGTGACCGAAGAGCACCAACCACAGCAAATTCCTTGGCGAATAAAGCTAATTCTGATTCTGAAAACTGGCACGTGGATTGTTGCACCAGGTTTGACGTCATTGACAAAACACACCATTGTGCTTTTTGAAGCGTTTTTGTCTTTGCAGTTTTACAGAAAATGACCTGTTCACCTGTGATGAAGAGCTGGTAAATCCTTCAGAACCTCTTTAATCTTCACCAGTCGCTCGTCTTCCAGCTGAATCGCCACTGCGTCCTGCGCAGAGACCAAAGAGAAGCTTCTAAATGCAAAATGCATCGAATTGCTGAAATTGCACAAATTTTCCTGGAAATTTTCTAAAAATGTTAAAACTGAAATGTAATTGTCAGTACATTTTGGAACTGACACTTCTGTTAATCAGACTTTTTCACAAAAGGTTCTTTGTGGTGAAAGAAGGTTCTTCAGATTATAAAAAGGTAAGAAAGAGATGGTTCTTTGACTGAATGGTTCTTTGTGGAACCAAAAATGGTTCTTCTATTGCATCGCTGTGAAGAACCTTTTAAGCAGCTTTATTTTTAAGAGTGTAGGATAAAAAAAAAAACATTTGGCTGGTGTTTAGTTTATTGTGGATTTGTTATCTTGTAAGGAATATATAAAGATATAGATGCCATATACTAAAAGATATACTGGAACGTTATAGAATTGTATATGGGGTGGGAAAAATAATACGCTTTTGCTTCATCCCGCTCCTTTTCAGACATTTTGAAATGTATAACGTCTTATGGACGTGATTTTTCTTTGTTGTTGCAACACATTTGTTGTGTTTGTATATTTTGTTTTATATTGTGCTTTGTTCAAAATAAAACTGAAATTAAATTAAAGTTGCATTTGCAACTAGCTGAAATAAAATGTGACCCTGGAGTCTTAAGTCACTGGGGTATATTTGTAGCAATAGCCAACAATACATTTTATGGGTCAAAATTATACATTTCTCTTTTATGCCAAAAATCATTAGGATATTAAGTAAAGATCATGTTCCATGAAGATATTTTGTAAATTTCTTACTGTAAATATATCAAAACTTAATTTTTGATTAGTAATATGCATTGCTATGAACTTCATTTGGACAACTTTAAAGATGATTTTCTCAATATTTAGATTTTTTTTGCATCCCCACATTATACAGATTTTTAAATAGTTTTAAACCTATCCTAACAAACCATACATCAATGGAAAGCTTATTTATTCCGCTTTCAGATGATGTATAAATCTCAATTATGATTGGTTTTGTGGTCCAGGGTCACAAATAAGTTTGTGTGAATCTCATCTGATATCATTAAATATTGTCATTATATTTGGGAAACAAAATGCATGTTGATCAACATCGACCGTATTCATTTGCAGACTTTAAAGCACACATTTGTACATGATGCACTGGCAAGCAGAGGTAGAGATGCAGACTCACGGCGAAGCGGTCGTACAGCTCGTATGTGAGCAGAGGGTTGGGCAGCTCTCTGAAATACGCCTTACACAGAGAGCTGACGCAGTGAATGTCCTGCAGATAGAGGTCCTTATACAGGTCAGGAGATCCTTCACTGTCGAACTCACCCCTGCACACACACACACACACACAGATACACACACACACACACACACACACACACACAGTCTGTAAACAAAGTCTGTAAACAATCTGATTTTTAGTAGCTGCATGAAGTCAGTCCTCCTCAACTGTTATTTTAGTATCACTGATATCCTCTATTTGCCATGATGTAAACAAACCAACAATAAATTATGGGCATACACACATAATAAACCACAGAATATAGAATATAATAAACCATCAAGAAATATGTGAATAAAAAAGAAAATAGAATAGATGTTTATGAAAAATATACAAAACTATACACTGTATACAAAGTGTGTACAGTGTGCAAATTATTATTTTTCCTCTTTCCCCAGTGCAATATTTGTAATAATATACTATAATAATATTAATAATGCTATTATGGTTTTTATTAATATTCTGAATGATTTACTTTGACATTTTCTGTTTAAATTTTAGTTAGTTTTAGTAATTTTGTTGCGTTTTTGTGATTTTTATTAGTTTTTTTAATGTAATTTTTATCAACTTTTATTTCAATTTCACTTTTAGTAATTTTATAGAGAAATCAGTATTGGTATCATTGATACTGGCCTTTAGTCAATAAAAACAGATGCCATTAAACAAATATTAAAAAAATATACAGTCTTTATGTTGTTTGTACATTAATTTGAAGATTGAATGTGAAATTGTAATATAAAAGTATATTTAAAAACTTTAATGTTAGGTGGGATTAATGTGAGTGAGTGAGAATGAACTCACTGTCCTGTCCGGTGGAGTTGAGGTGCTCCAGCAGGTCACATCCAAACACTTTGTCCCGATTGCCTCCTTTTCTCCGGCCTCTCCTCATCTTGCTTTGCTTCACCTCCTCTCTAACATCCAGGTCTTGTGTGTGTGTGTGTGTGTGTGTGTGTGTGTGTGTGTGTGAGCTGATCTAATGAGTGTTTGTGTGAATCACTGAAGTCACACCTCACATGACGGCTGCTGTAGAATATCTCACAGTATTATATGAGTTTAATCCTGATTCTCATCCAGCGCCGCTGCAGGAACGTCTTCTGTACTGACATTCACTCATCAACTACATCGTACATCACTGCTTGATGGAACAGACGCTTCATATCCAGAGATATGAAATATATCTCTATAAAAAAGAAAAAGAATATATAAGCCACAATATTCACAATTCTGTGTTCATTCTTAAAAATAAAGTTGGTCGAACAGTTTTTTGTGAGTTGCTTTAAGGTTCTTTGTAGATTAATACATCTCTATAATATCTAATTATAGATTTTTGTTGGTGTTTTTGATCCAATTCTCACAAGATTAAATGATCTGATCTGATCATCCACATTTATTTTAAAGCTCTATATTCTTACTGGATGACTGCCCGACTCTGTTTCTGTCTTGTGTTGTGTTTTGTTCCCCACGTGCTCCATGTTATGTTTATGCCCTTATTTGGTCTTCTTGTTCCTGTTCCCTGATTAGGTTTATTTGTCCTAGGTGTTTCCTATGTTTATTATGTCATTATTTCCAGGTGTTCCCCATTTAGTTCAGAGTACTTAAGCCCTGTGTTTTTCATTGTTTGGTCATCCGGTATTGAATGTCTGTATGTGTATACCTCTCCTGCTACGTCTGTTTTCCTGGTTCCCTTGATGTCATTAAAATCTCATTGTTGATGTACTCCTCGTCTCCTCACAGTAGCAACGTGACAGAATACCGGACCAAAAACAAAACGTAAGCGGTGCCCCTTCTCCCCGTTTTGTTTTCTCTTTCTTTTTTTTTCTTTTTTGTGTTTTCTTTTGATTTTTCTAATGGATCCCCTGGAGCAGTTATGTTCTATTTGTCAAGACGGCAGTTCCCTGGAAGAGTACATCAAAGAATTCCTCACCTGCTCCAAGCAGACTACCCTCGACCGGTGGGCTCTTGTAGACCGTTTCTGTGGTGGTCTGGATGAGGGGATCGCTCAACGGATGGTGGTTTAGATCAACCGATTATATCAACGTGGCTTGGTTAGTCAGCGGATCCTGTCTCCTCGCCGCCAATCCAGAGGCATCACCCATTCGTTCCATCCATCCAAGGTCAAGCCCACCGGCTCCCCCGAAGTCAAACCTGCCGGCCGCTGCAACGTCAAGCCCGCTGGCTGCCCTATTCACCCGTAACCTAAAGGGGAGGAAAAGGCGGTTGGTGCCAGCCCCAGAGCTCGCTCCAGTGTCGGCTCCAGCCCCAGAGCTTGCTCCCGTGTGAGCTCCGGTTCCCGAGTTGAGCCCACGGAGGGCTCCAGTCCCCGAGTTGAGCCCACGGAGGGCTCCAGTCCCCGAGTTGAGCCCACGGAGGGCTCCAGTCCCCGAGTTGAGCCCACGGAGGGCTCCAGTCCCCGAGTTGAGCCCACGGAGGGCTCCAGTCCCCGAGTTGAGCCCACGGAGGGCTCCAGTCCCCGAGTTGAGCCCACGGAGGGCTCCTGTCCCCGAGTTTAGCCCAGAGTGGGCTCCTGTCCCCGAGTTTAGCCCAGAGAGGGCTCCAGTCCCCACATCCTGCCCAAGGAGGACCACAGTTCCCGAGTTAGGCCTACGGAGGGCCTCTAAAGACTATATTCTCCCCAAGGATTCTTTTTTGGGGGGGGATGGCTTCCTAGTCTGCCTGCTCCGCCATGGCCTCCTAAACTGTCTGCTCCGCCATGGCTTCCTAGTCTGCCTGCTCCGCCATGGCCTTCTGAGTTCCCTGCTCCACCATGGCCCCCCGAGCTCCCTGATCCGCCATGGCCCCCCGAGCTCCCTGATCCGCCATGGCTTCCCGAGCTGCCTTCTCCGCCATGGTGCCCGGATCTGGTACTGCCTTGGAGGCGTCCCTGCTCCGTACTAGTCTATCCTGAGGGATCTCCAAGGTGTTATATCAGACTCTGTTTCTGTCTTGTGTTATGTTTATGCCCTTATTTGGTCTTCCTGTTCCTTGATTAGGTTTATTTGTCCCAGGTGTTTCCTATGTTTATTATGTCATTATTTCCAGGTGTTCCCCATTTTGTTCAGAGTACTTAAGCCCTGTGTTTTTCATTGTTTGGTTGTCCGGTATTGAATGTCTGTATGTGTGTACCTCTCCTGCTACGTGTGTTTTCCTGGTTCTCTAGATGTCATTAAAATCTCATTGTTGATGTACTCCTCGTTCCACGCTCCATCACAGTAGCAACGTGACAGTGACAACTACTGACTTACTGCAAAAATGAAACATCTTCCTCAGTATATTTGTCTTATTTTTCAGTACAAATATCTGAACATTATTAAGTCACGTCACATTTATTTGAGATGCAAAATGACAAGTTTTCATGCTTAAAACAAGAACAATTTTCAGCCAATGCAGTGAGAAAAACCACCTTAATTCAAAAGATATTTGTTCGTTTCAAGCATACAGTCACTTACAGTCATTTTTATAAACCTTTCAGAAAACAAGACTTGTTATTTATATATTATATGCATTTATGGATTGAAAAAAAATTGGTGAAACCGTTTTCACTCAGAAATTGTTAGTAAATTTCACAAATAATTACAAAGAAATTGCAAGTAATACACTGAATTAAAGTAATGAAGTAGAAAGACTGAAATTGGATTTTCTTGTAAAACATACTCCAAAATCATTGTTTTATAACTTCGAAAAATCTTTTTTTACAGTATATATACACTGTAATGTATACTGTAAAATATAAATAAAATATTTTTAATAATAATAATTTGTATTATATATATATATATAGATATATATATATATATATACACACAGTATCTCACAGAAGTGAGTACACCCCTCACATTTTTGTAAATATTTGATATCTTTTCATGTGACAACACTGAAGAAATGACACTTTGCTACAATGTAAAGTAGTGAGTGTACAGCTTGTATAACA